TTATTTCCCAGAATCCCTGAGGGCACCACATTTATTTCCCAGAATCCCTGAGGCCACTACATTTATTTCCCATAATCCCTGAGGGCACCACAATATTTCCCAGAATCCCTGAGGGCACCACATTTATTTCCCTGGTTTCCCATGTGTCCTATATTTATTTCCCAGAATTCCTATTTCCCAGAACGCATTTCCCAGAATCTCTGTGTGCGCCCCATTCATTTCCCAGAATCCCTCAGTACACCGTATTTATTTCCCAGAATCCCCGAGAAGGCTGGCCCGTTGCCATGGCAACCCGCAACAAGTTACCAGGGCCGTCTTTCGCAAAACCAAACCTCCCCACCGCCACCACCAGGCGGGCTCTCTTGCACCCGGCCTTCCTACCGAGCGGCATGCTGATGCGCTCGCTGTCCCTCCCTCGGAGCTTGTTGCGCTTGAAGGTTCCCTTGCGCTTCTTGACGTGCGGCCGGTCGCGGTTCATCTGCTGGATCAGGAGGCTGAGTTCGCGCTCGAAGACCTCCAGCTCCCACTGGGCCAGTTCGTGTTCTCGCTGGCGGAGGAATTCCTCCTGGGACTTCTGCTTCAGGGCCGCCTGCTTCAGCTCTTCCTCCCGGCTCAGCAGCTCCTGGGGAGAGAAACGGATCCCGAACCGTCAGGATTGTTAGCTGCCATTTTCAGGATCTGTTGTAACTTGGGATTGTTATGAAGCGACTGGATGTAAGGCCTCAAGGCCTCCCTGTATTTTAATTATTTTTAATTTGTTTTTATGCTTTGGGACGTACACCACGCAGAGTCCAAGGCTGAGGTGGGTGGCTATAGAAAACAGAACAATCAATCAATCAATCAATCAATCCACATTTTATATCTGTGCCCCAGAACTGAAGGCAGGACAAGAAGCAACAGGTGGAAACTAATCAAGGAGAGAAGCAACCCGGAATTAAGGAGAAACTTCCTCACAGTGAGGAACAATTAACCTGTGGAACGACTTGCCACCAGAGGTTGTGGATGCTCCATCACGGGAGGTTTTTAAGAAGAGACTGGACAGCCACCTGTCCGGAATGGCACAGGTAGTCTTTCAACTTAGGACCACAATGGAGCCCCAAAATTATGTTGCTAAGCAAGACACTGCGTGTTCTAGAAAACCGCAAAAAGAAGCTTTGATTTCCTAGATAGGCAGACCTCAATGGAGCCCCACATTTCTGTTGCTAAACGAGACAGCTGTTAAGTGAGTTTTGCCCCGTTTTCTGACCTTCCTTCCACAGTTGTTAAGTCAATCACTGCAGTCGGTTAAATTCGAAACACGGTTGTTAAAGTGAATCCAGCTACCCCATTAACTTCGCTTGTCAAAAGCTGACCGTACGACCCTGGGACACCGCAACTTTCATAAATACGAGTCAGTTGCCAAATGTGTGAGTTTTGATCGCCTGACCACAGGGATGCGGCAACGGTCGTAAGTGTGAAAAACAGTCATAAGTCGCTTTTTTCACTGCCGCTGTAACTTTGGAACGGTCACTAAACGAACTGTCATAAGTCAAGGACTACCTGCTTTAGGGTGTCCTGCCTTGAGCAGTGAGTTGGACTACAAGACCTCCAGGGTCCCCTCCAGCTCTTGTTATTCGTTTAACTGCAGTTAAACAAATGACAGAGTTGGAAGGGACCCTGGAGGTTGTCTAGTCCAACCCGCTGCTGTTCGGAAAGGGGACACACTCACACCACCCCGTTCCCCAGCCTTTCCCCTGGGATTCTCACCTTCTCTTTTGCACGCAGCTCGTCAAACATATCCTGGATCTCCACTTTCCAGTCGTCCTGCATGGAATGGAAGGACTCTTGTGGCAGGTCGTGGAGCACCTGTCTTTCGAGGACTGTCAGCTGGTCGAGGATGGAGGCAAAGCTGGGGCGTGCGTGGGGGTCCTGCTGCCAGCACTCTGGTGGGAGGCGGCGGTGGAGGGAAAATAAAAGGGAAAGGAGTCAAATAACGGAGTTGAGAATCAGCCGCCCCTTGGAGACTGTGCAACGTCAAGGTGCCGGTCCGGTCTGCTAACGAACGCCATCTTGGAGCGGTGCGTAAAGGCAGGGACCGTGTTCTCCTTCAGAGACAGGTTGAAGCAGAGGTGGTCTTCAGCCGGTTCTGACCGGTTCTGGAGAACCCGTAGTGGAAATTTTGAGTAGTTCGGAGAACTGGCAAATCCCACCCCTGAATGGCCCCGTCCCCATCTATTCTCCACCTCCCAAGTCCCAGTTGATCAGCTGGGTCTCCTTTGGTTGCCCTGCACAGGGGAACGGAGCTGGAAAGCAGGTTAGTGGGGTGGGAAGGGAAGGGAAGGGGGATTTTGCAGTAACCTTCCCCGCCATGCCCACCAAACCACACCCCCAGAACCAGTAGTAAAAAAAATTAAGTCCCACCGCTGGCCGTTGAACGATTCGAGGAGAGAAGAGGAAGAAGGCAACTGTTGGAATAGCGTGTGGGGAAGACCTTGGGAGATGAGGCAAAGAGAACAGTCAGATAAAGGCAGCATAGCCCTCAAACTGCATAATGGATGGAGAAAGAAGCTCAGAAGGGACCCTCCCTAGTGTCTCAGGCTGTAAAGGGGTGGGGAGAATATAGATCTATGGACAGAGTATGAGCAAGTATGTGGGAAGACCTTGGGAGACAGAGTGAAGAGACCTGCACAGTAATGGTCGGATGAGAGAGCGGACAGGGCAAGAGGCTGTAAAGGAGATGACTATAATGGTATGTGGGGAAGACCTTGGGAGAGGGAGCAAAGAGATACGCCCCAGGAATGGTCAGATAAGAGGCAGTATAACGCTTGGCTGTGTAATAGGTAGGACGAGAGGCTCAGAACAGACTCTCCCTAGTTTCTCAGTTGGTAAAGAAGATGGCAGGCATGGTATGTGGGAAAGACCTTGGCAGACGGGGCAAAGAGATCCTGCCAAGGGAACAGGCAGATAAAAGACAGCACAGCCCTCAGCTGCATAATGGGTGTAAAAAGGCAACTCAAATGGAACCTTCCCTAGTTTCTTAGGCTGTAAAGCAGGCTTGTCCAACCCGCGGCCCGCGGGCCACATGCGGCCCAGGTCGGCTCGTAATGCGGCCCAGTGCCCACCCCAACCTTCGTGCAAGAGGAGGAGCCAGCGAGGAGGAGGAGGAGAGGCAGGCGCGAGGCGAGCGCCACGCCAAGCAGCAACAGAAAAGGCGGCCGCCATCAGAGCGCTCCTCGTGCCGAGGCAGCCGCAGCCCAAGAGTCCTGTTCCACCACCTCCTGCTACCGCCGCCGCCGGAGCTGTTGTAGCGCCTTCTGCCCCTGCCGCTGCCCCCGCTGCCACCGCTGCTGCTGCACCGAGCCTCCCGGTCCTCACCTTCCAGTCCTGCCGCATCCAGCCGGGCCATTTGCAGGAGGAGAGGTAGGCGCGAGGCGGGCGAGCTTTCTCCCCCCGCCCCCCGCGTTCCTTTCTCCCTGGTTGACTATTTTTTATGATATCTTATGAAAAAAATGTTTTCTATGGTTTTTTTTGGATGATCAGGTATCGTTACTGTTATTTTATTTTATGTGCGGCCCAAACCAAATTTTCATCTTCTAATGTGGCCCAGGGAAGGTGAAAGGTTGGACAACCTGCTGTAAAGGGAGGGTCCTGTTCTGATCTAGGCTTCCCCCAAAAGCACTAAGCAGGCTTTTTGTCCTGGCAAAACCCCTTTTATTAAACGAAGGTGAATTTCTTGCATCCACATTCAGCCAAAGGCCTGGCAAACAGTCTTTCGAGGGACTAAAGAGGAGTACAGACCTTATCTAGCCTGGAGAGCTGCCAAGTAAATATTTCCAAACGCAGTGCTGACAAGGAAGGGCTCGGCAGAGATCGTCACACTGCTGCAAGGAACAAGTTGTTTCCTGCAAAAGCCCCCTCCCCTTTTGCTCCTTCACCATCCATCTGTGGCTTTACTCCCACGTCGACCCTTAGTTCGTAATTGTTCTTTCCTTTTGGCAGCTCTGCACATGCGCAGGCTGGGAACGGGCTCCAGAAGCTCCTCCGCCTCACTGCTGTCCAAGCCCGAATGCAGCTGATGACTGCCAGCCTGCCCTGGCCCCATCTCTGCCTCTGATGCAAAGCCCTTGTCTGAGCCTTACTCAGCCTCCAGGCCCGGCCCACGTTCCTCCCCAGCCTTCTCACTCTCCGACTTGGCTGCCAGCTCCGCTAGCCACCGGTGGGCCACAACAGGGGAACAGAATCTAGATCTATGGAAAGGGTTCAGAGTGTGTCAGGTACATGGGAAAGAGTTTGGGAGGCAAAGAGAGGAACAGTCAGAGAAGAGGAAAGCTGAGCCCTAAGAAACTACGTTGATACGTTGCTAAGTGAATCCGGCTTCCCCACTGACTTTGCTCGTCAGAAAGTCGCAAATGGGGATCAAATGACTCTGGGATACTGCAACCATCATGAATATAAATCCGTTGCCAAGTGCCTGAATTTTGATCACATGACCCTGGGGATGCTGCAAAGGTCGTAACGGTGAAAACTAGTCTCAGGTCACATTTTCCAGTGCCGTTATAAATTTGAACTGTCACTAAATGAACGGTCGTAATTAGAGGACCTATCTGTACTGGGAACAGTGCTGAAAGCCTAGATTTCCACTAGGTTAACAGAAGAGTGTCAGGATTCCGGCAATCGCCCTTATCACTCCTTATCGCCCCTCCCCTCCCACTTGTGACTGTATGACTGTGACTTTGTCACTTGCATCCCAACGATTTTTATTGACAGTTTCCTCGTATGATTTGATTGCTTATTGTACCCTGTGACTATCATTAAGTGTTGGACCTGATGATTCTTGACTCTGATGAAGGTCTCTTTTCTTTTATGTACACTGAGAGCATTTGCACCAAGACACATTCCTTGTGTGTCCAACCACACTTGGCCAATACAGAATTCAATTCTGTTCTGTTCTGTTCTGTTCTGTTCTATTCTATTCTATTCTGTTCATCATGATTAATTAAATCATGATTCTCGAGCCAAATTCAACTTCAAACTTCAAAGGATTTATTAGAGGCGACATACTGGCCCTGCCCTGTGTGAAGCCAACTCCGGCATACGTCACTTACAGTCCCCTGTGACCCTGTTTCCCCCCTCCCCACTGGGTGTGTCATAAATCACATTCTCCAATTGAGCACGTCCACAGGCTGGGCGTCATCAATTACGTTCTCCAATTAAATATATTCGTGGGCAAAAGCTTCTGGTAGTTTAGTTACAATCTTTTAAAGCTAAGAGTTGGAATGTGCTTTCGCTTCCAAACCGCTGCGCGGCCCTTCCAGATTTCCTTCCTCCTTTCCCCCTTTTTTATGGCAACTACTAAAACAGGCATAGGAATGTTTTAAGGGTTGACAAAGAGAAGGGAAACATTTTAAAAGAGACTTTTTGTTCCAAACTATCTGAGCTCTGCTCAAAATCCCCCATTTGGCCTCTTGAGATATTTCTTTTTCTTACCCGTCATTAAACGTACAAAGGGTTCCGGGCACGTAGATGGTATCGGGAGGGTGAGTTTGTTGACGGCAACCCCATAAGCCACAGCCAGCCCGTCAATTCCCCGGTATGGAACTTCGCCGGTGAGCAGTTCCCATAGGAGCACCCCATAACTGGAAGAACACGAAGAAGAAACAGGGAAAAGGTTACAGGTGGTTCTCAACTTACAACCGTTTATTTGGTTGGGACCTTGGAGGTCTTCTAGTCCAGCCCCTTGCTCGAGCAGGAGACCCATTTCAGACAAGTGGCTGTCCAGTCTCTTCTGAAAAGCCTCCAGCAATGGGGCCAAACTTCAAAAGATCATTTGATAAAAAGTTGTAAGTTGAGGAATAACCCCCATTAGTCGTCTACCTGATGGGTTCGTCAGTTCGAGTCTCACCAGGCTCAAGGTTGACTCAGCCTTCCGTCCTTCTGAGGTGGGTAAAATGAGGACCCAGATTGTTGGGGTCAAGAGGCTGACCTTGTAAACCGCTTAGAGAGGGCTGTAAATGCACTGGGAAGTGGTATATAAGTCTGAGTGCTATTGCTATTTTCCTTCCTTCCTTCCTTCCTTCCTTCCTTCCTTCCTTCCTTCCTGTCAGAATGCAGAATTGCAAGCAAACTCTGCCCACAGTCCAGGAGTTCGATCTTGACCAGCTCAAGATTGATTCATCCTTCCCTCCTTCCGAGGTGGGTAAAATGAGGACCCAGATTGTTGGGGGCAAGAGGCTGACTCTGTAACCCTCTCACAGAGGGCTGTCGGGCACTATGAGCAGTATACAGGTAAGTCCTCGACTTACGACTACAATTTCTGTTCCTAAGGGAGACGTTTCTGGCCACCATTGTGACGTGAATTGGTGCAGTTGATAAGTTAGTCAAACGGTTGTTAGGTGAATCTGGCTTCCCTATTGACTTTGCTTGTCAGAAGGTCGCAAAAGGGGATCACATGACCCCCTTGGGACACTGCGACCGTCATAAATATGAACCAGCTGCCAAGTGTCTGAATGTTGAACACGTGATCGTAGGGTTGCTGCAAAACTGTGAAAAAAGGATCCTAGGTTACTATTTTTTTTAGTGCCGTTGTAACTTCGAACTGTCACTAAACGAAGTTGAGAATTACCTGTTTTAGTCTAAGAGCTATTGCTATTCACGCATTTAAATAACTCTTTTTTTTTTTCTTTCCTGGCAAGGCTGCCCATCAGTTTCCACACAGGGCCAAAGGGCCAAACAGGTTTTGAACCTCCAGCCCTTCGTCCACCTGGAGAAACTTCCTTCTTTCTCTCCCTCCTTACCTCCAGACGTCGCTACCCCGGGAAAAAGTGGAATTTTTGATGACCTCCGGCGCCATCCAAGCGTAAGTCCCGGCTGCGCTCATTTTAGTGGTTTTGTGCCATTCCCTGGCCAGGCCGAAATCGGTGATCTTTAGGGTTTTCCCGCTGACCTCGCCGTCGTCCACGTATTCGCTCAGCAGAACTGTAGAAGGAGGGGGGGGGAAAAAGAGAACGCTTTCAGACAACTCCCGAAAGAAGCAAGCTGTGCTTTTTATAAAAAAAAAAAGCTGGTTCTGGAAACTCTTCGCTGTATATGTGCTCTGACCGAGGCTTCCCAAGATCACAAAGCAGATTCCTCATCCCGATAAAACCCCTTTTATTTACGTTAAAGTAAACTCCTCTCCAGCAAAGTCTTTTCATGAGATTTCACAATCGCAGACCTTTATCAGGCTTGGAGAGTTGCCAGGCCAATAGCTTCCAAACGCCACGCTGTAGCAGCAATTACTTGGCAAGAAGTCAGGAACAGATCTTCACCTTAATTAACTGAACTAATTGTCTCCAGCAAACACCCCTCCCATTTCACTCCTCTTTGTTCCCTATGGGAGGGGCCATTCACCATCCACCTGAGCCTTTACTCCCGAGTTGACCCTTGTTCCTTAATTGTTCCCTTCATCTGGCAGCTCTGTGCATGCGCACACTGGGAACAGGCTCCAGCTGTTCTTCTTCCCCACTGATCTCCTACTCCAAAGGCAGCTAATAACTGTTGGACGGCCCTGGCCCCATCTCTGCCTCCGACGCAGAGCCTTCCCCCGACTCCAGGAATGGCCCATGTTCCTCCGTAACCTCCTCACTGTCCGCTGTCAGGACACGACAATAGGTAGTCCTCGACTTATGACCACAATTTGAGTCCCAAACTTCAGTTGCTCAGCGAGATATTTGTTAAGTGACTTTTTTCCCCATTTTACTATCTTTCTTGCCACATTCGTTAAGGGAATCGGGGCACTTCTTAAATTAGTGACACGGTTCTTAAGTGAATCTGGCTTCCCCATTGACTTGTCACAAAAAGCGATCACATGACCCCTGGGGACACTGTGACCATCGTACATGTGAACCAGTTGCCAAAAGCGGCCGAATTTTGATCACGTGTCCCCTGGGGATGCTGCCAACGGTCGTTAAGTGTGAAAAACGGTCATAAGTCAATTTTTTTCAGCGCTCTTATCACCCCGAATAAGCAGTTGTTATTTCTGTGGGGGACTTGAAACATTTGTAAAGGGAGCGTGGCCCCATTTTACGACGTCCCTGGCCACCGTCATCAAGTGGATCACTGAAACTCGGTTGTTAAGTGAATATGAGTCTTTCCCCCATTGAGTTTGCTTGTCAGACGTGATCCCATGACCCTGCAACTGTCGTAAATATGAGTCAGTCCCCAAGCGTCTGAATTTGGATCACGTAACCACAGGAGGGAAATGTTACAACGGTTGTAATTGTGAAAAAGTCCCTTTTTTTCAACTCTGTAGTCACTTTGGCCACTAAATGAACTTGTTGTAAAGTCGAGGAAAACCTGTATAGGAAAACAAGCTAGCTAAAGTTAGGTAAAGTTTGTGAAATAATAATCCAGGTTCAAACCCAACGAGCGCTGCAGTTTGTTTTCAGCCCTCATGTCTTTTGCCAAACTGGTTCGTGGTTGTGTGAATGCAACCTTGGTATTCTTTCTGTCTCCCTTTCAAACAAGCCCAGCTCTGATTTCTCCTTGTTTTTCTTCCATTTTCACTGCAATTAATTCTGCCAGGAAGCCACCCTTGGTAGCAATTCCTTGCGGCTGAAAAGGTTTCCCCAAGTTAGCCAGTTTAGACACCATGCCAAGCTTCCTTCTCTTTCTTGGCACACAAGCTGGCAGGAGCCGTCCCAATCTCCGACTTAAGTTGGCGTTTCAGCTGAATACAGGAATGGGAAGGTGCTTAGAGATCTTCTAGTCCAACCCCCTGCTCTGGCAGGAGACCCTATATACCGAAGCTAAAATCTCTCCAGTATTTCTCAGAAAATTTTTAGTTTATGGAAAGGAGGTTCAACTAGAAAGCACCGAAAGATTTAAAGCAACAACAAAAAATGACATTAACAAAACAAAAGGATTAAACAAATTCTACAGAGGAATGATGGAGTCTGTCATCTGCACCTCTATAACTGTCTGGTTTGGTTCTGCAACCCAACAGGACAGACACAGACTGTGTCACAGAGAGTGATTAGGACTGCAGAAACAACAATGGCTACCCACCTGCCTTCAATCGAGGACCTGAATCCTGCACCCCGAGTTAAAAAGAGGGCTGTGAAAATATTTACAGACCCCTCACATTCCAGACATAAGCAGTTTCAACTCCTACTCTCAAAACGACGCTGTAGAGCCCTGCACACCAGAACAACTAGACACAAGGACAGTTTTTCCCCAAACTCCATCACTCTGCTAAACAAATAATTCCCTCAACACTGTCCAACTGTTTACTAAGTCTGCACTACTATTACTGTTAATCTTCTCATCACTCCTTATCATCCATCCCCTCCCACTTGTGACTGTAACTTTGTCACTTGTATCCTTACGATTTATATTGACTGTTTCTTTGTATGATTTGATGGCTTATTGTACCCTATGACTATCATTAAGTGTTGTACCTGATGATTCTTGACTCTGATGAAGGTCTCTTTTCTTTTATGTACACTGAGAGTATTTGCACCAAGACAAATTCCTTGTGTGTCCAA